TACCGTCGAGGAAGCGGATGTGGCTGTAGTGTTGGAGACCAAAGTCGCAGCAGTACCAGCCAAAGCAACTTGTGCTGGAGAGAAGCAGGTAGCTGGGCCGACATTGGAACCAAGAAGGCAAACACTTGTGTCAGCACAAGTAATAGGATTAATACGCTGTTGTTGTTGATGACGAGCAGCGGCAGCGGCCGCCGCGGCCGCTGCGGCAGCACAGGCAAGCATTGGACTATAGCCAGTGGCGGTGACGGAAGGTCCTTGAGGGGAAATAACTTCCGGAAAGTCGATAAAAGGAGGCTTGCTTGAGTTCGAAAGAGAAAACTGACCAGTGTTGCTGACAGAAGACTCATCACATTCTAGTAGATGATGATGATGGTGGTGATGATGATGATGGTGATGCAAGTGATGATAAGGCTGTTGCTGCTGCTGCTGTTGTAGGTGATTGACAGCTGCAAACGCAGTTACGGGGCCAGAGAGCTCATTAGTAGGTGCTATCATCGAGTGTTGGTGAATGTGAGGATGCAAAGATGAAGCGTATGAAGAAGAGGAAGCTGCAGTCATCCCATCCGGAATATTACCTGTGTCGAACTCACAAGAAAGGCCAGAGCCAGAAGCCTGGAAAATAGATTAAAAAATAGATGTATATTAAAATAAACTAGTTTGAGAATAGCGTATTTGACGACTCCAGTAGTGCGGAGTCGGAGCGTACATTGATATATAGGGAGATATATTAGATTGAAATGAAATATACGACAGCTAAAAAGTGTATATTCGATCAAATTTTTGTCATCCTGTGATCATCGGAAAGGGAACAACATTTATTCAAAAGCCTGTTCTAAAGTATGCTTTATTGCCTTATAAAAGAAATTATTGAGTTCAAAGATGGACTTGGATTTCCTGACAAGACAAAGCCACAGATAGTTACTTTACAAAAACACATAATTAAAATAGGTTTTGGGAGCAGCGACCTTAATAAACAATTAATATAATATTTAGTTTTGGATAAATGTGAAACATTGCTAAATTGACTTTGAT